TGGAACAACAAGGGTTAGGGCACCACAATGCTCGTCCGGCGGATTATCCGGGACAGCAGCTTTGAGGCGGCGCACGCCCACAACCTATTCGCGTGCTCCGCGGTGGTGGAGGGGGGGTTACGTCTGCGCCCCTCGAGAGACAATCAGAAACGGGCCGTTGTATTTGGGTTCCAGCGGCCGGTGTACTCAAGCACATCAGGGATAAACGTGAGAGGAGATAACCAAATCTTGATCGAGATGAAACTTAGAGATGGACAGAATTGGGGATAGCGTTCGAGTAAACAGCCGAAAACGGTGCCGGACGTTAATAAGATTCTCGACTGCACTTCTAGGGGTTGGCAAAATCATCTCACCGAGAAGTCGGCCAGTGGCGCCGAACACCACTTCAGCGGCGGAACAATCAAGGTCCAACTTGAGTGAGGAACGGATATCCAACGGGACCAAAGGAAGATGGTCTGTCCAGTTCTTCGGATCGGCCCCGGCGACTAGAGGAGTCTTTAACTAGCAGTGAAAATACCCAGCCATTTCCTTTGACAATCTGATTATAAGCTGCAGTTCGGATGCGAGAAAAGCCTAAAAAGGGGATGTGAGACTGGAAAAGGTTAGATTCAAACTGGGCACCACGGTCTTTCGTGGTGGTGGAGGGAGTGTTAAAGATGGCAACCCAGCGACTGAGGAAAACCTTGTCCACTGTTGAAGCAGCAACATCGGGCAAAGGGGTAGCCCCCGGCCACTGACTGAATCCATCCACGCAATTGAGGAGATAGAAGCGGCCAATAGACAGAGGCAGGGGGTCTACAGAGTTCAAGTGGATGTACTTGAACCTTGCATCGGAGTTGGAGAAACTGCCGATAGGAGCTTTGTTGCGTCGTTGGAGCTTATTCTGTTGATAGATGAGACACGCTTGGGTTCAAGATTTCGGGTCCATGTGCATCCCGGACCAGACTAAGCGGTCGGAAACCAGCTTGTCGGTTGCTCGACCCCCAAGCTGAGAAAGGTTGTAAAGGGTGGGAAGATGATGTATTATTGGGATGGCGGGAAAAGGAGCGATGGGAGACGGTGGAGTTGTCGCAGAGGATGGTTCCGTTGATGGTTCGGTAGTCAGTGGGCGGTCCTGGAGTTGGAGGAAGGAAACATCCTCTTCACAGGGTTAACCGACACGGCGTTGTTCGGCAGCCTTCTCGACGATATCGATCCTGGGATTGAATTTCAGATGAGCGGTTGAGGCTCTGATCAGCCACCTCACTGTGTGACCCATCGATGTGGCGGATGTCTGAGTTGAACTGAAAAATGAAGTCCAGCTGGCGAATCTCCCAGGGCTTCAATTTGTGAGGGTGAAGGAGCGTAATTTGTGATCAGGGAATACAGTGAAATCTCTGCCCTCGTGAAATTACCGGAAGTGTTTCATGGCGAGGTAGACAGCAAGAAACTCTCGTCCAAATGTAATATAGCGCGATTCAGTAGGTTTTAACCTTCTGGAGAAGAACACGAAGGGCTGCGTCTGACATGTAATACGCTGCTGGCGCAATGCACCGACTGCGACATTGAGGGCGTCAGCCATGAGGGAGATGGGAGGATGAGGTACTGAGTATGTCAGGAGTGCGGCATCGGCTAGGGCAGCCTTGGCCTTGCTGAACGCAACAAGGGCGTCCGCGGATATATCGAACGAACCTTTGGGACCAGAGAGGAGTTTAGTGAGCGGCCGAATAGTTTCGGTGCAGTTAGGGAGGAACTGGTCGTAGAAATTGACAATGCCTTGAAATCGCTGAGGCGGACGCTTAGAAAATATAGGTGGAAATTCACGAATGACAGCACCCTTCGAAGGGAGAGGATGGATGCCGATGGTTTCCCCCAGGTGTCCATGAAACTCAAGCGAGCGAACACTGAAGACGCACTTCGACAGCTTGGGAGCACGGCCAGATGTTTGAAGGTGGTCAAACACCGTATCGAGACGCTCCATGTGGTCGGTGGTGGCGAACCTGGCTATCGACACGTCGCCAATGTGGGCGAAGACGAAAGGAAGGCTGTGA